CTCTCTCTTTCTCTTTCTTTTCAAAGAAAAATGGAGACAAAAGCTAAAAGGAAAAATGCTGCAAGATGATTTTCTCTCCCGCGTCGACCCTCGCCTGCAGCGGCGGCCGTCGCAGTTTCCGCAGGAGGGGGTCGTTCCTCCTGACGAAGATGTAGTCGTCTGCGGCGTCGATGAGGACGTACCCGCGGTCGTTCATCAGCTTCACGAAGTCGTAGTTGAATTCGACTTTCTCGTATTCCGCTACGACCACTCTGGGGGGTAGAAGGGGTTGGGGAAGGTAGGGGGTGGTGGACCAGGGTGAGTTAGGGGTGAAGGGGCAGAGGAGGAGAGGGGGTGGTGGAGCAGGGGAAGGGAGAGGATGGTGGACCAAGGGAGGGGAGGGTGGTGGAGTGGGAGGCGGGCAGAGAGGAGAGGGAGGGGAGTGTGGAGTGGAGTTGGGCAGAGGAGGGAGAGGGGTATTGAACAAGGGGGGGGAGGAGGGGAGGAGGGGGATAGGGTCGATAAATCCGGATGTTTCTGTGTTCCTTTAATCACTGAATCATTCATTTATTCATCAATTTATTTGTCAGTTTTGTAAGACTGGCTATTCTTAGACGTTTTTTTTTTGAAACATTTGGATATTAATAAACGTTTGTGCATTTAATTCATGATTAATGTGTTTAGACATAACTTCAGATAATCCTTTACAAAAGGCTAATTCATCTGATAACTCCATTATAATAAGATCAATAGATTCCCTAAAATGTTTAAAGTCATGAAATTAGAAGAAGAAGAAGAGGAGGAAGAAGAAGAAGAAGAAGAAGAAGAAGAAGAAGAAGAAGAAGAAGAAGAAGAAGAAGAAGAAGAAGAAGAAGAAAGAAGAGAAGAAAGAAGAAAGAAGAGAGAAGAAGAAGAAGAAGAAGAAGAAGAAGGAAGAAGAAGAAAAAAGAAGAAGAAGAAGAGAAGAAGAAGAAAAGAAGAAAGAAGAAGAAAGAAAAGAAGAAAAATGAAAAATGAAAAAGAAAAAAAATAAAAGAAGAAGAAGAAAAAATGAAAAAAGATACATAACATGAAGTGAGATTTTTAAAAGATTACCTGAAGGACACATTAAACTTGTCCAGCGAGGTGATGACCCCGATCTCCGCCCCTTGGACATCGAGGGAGAGGAGGTCAGGCGAGGTCACACCGAGAGCCAGGAGGTAAGACGCCAGAGGGAAGCACTGGACCACCTTGTAAGACGACTGTGGAAGATGAGGTGAAAAGAGGTAAATAAATAAATAAATAAATAAATGATATATAAAATAAGAAATAAGAAAATAGAATAGATAAATAAATAAACAATATACATATAAAATAAGAAATAAGAAAATAAAATAGATAAATAAATAAATAATATACATATAAAATAAGAAATAAGAAAATAAAATAGATAAATAAATAAATAAATAATATGTAAATAAAAGAAAAGAAAAATATAAAATAAAATAGAAAAATCTTCAAGGTTTGTTTGTTATACTATATCTTGTATTTCGTTTTGTTCTATTTGGCGATATATTTTTTCTTTTCTTTTTTCTTTTTTTTCTAATCTTTATTCATATGTCATTCCGCTGTCCATGATTGGCAATTATGGTAACATTGTATTCCATTGCAGATATTCTTGTTCAGTTCCAGAGATAATTCTCTCACTCTCTCTCTCTCTCTCTTTTTCCCTCTTTCCCTCTTTCTCTCTTTCTCTCTCTTTCTTTCTCTCTCTCTCTTTCTTTCCCTCTCGCTCGCTCGCTCTTTCTCTTTCTCTTTCTCTCTCTTTCTTTCTCTTTCTCTCTTCTCTTTCTTTCTCTCTTTCTCTTCTCCTCTTTCGCTCTCTCTCTCTCTCTCTCTTCTCTCTCTCTCTTCTCTCTCTCTCTCTCTTCTCTCTCTTCTCTCTCTTCTCTCTCTCTCTCTCTCTCTCTCTCCTCTCTCTCTCTCTCTCTCTCTCTCTCTCTCTCTCTCTCTCTCTCTCTCTCTCTCTCTCTCTCTCTCTCTCTCTCTCTCTCTCTCTCTCTCTCTCTCTCTTCTCTCTCTCTCTCTCTCTCTCTCTCTCTCTCTCTCTCTCTCTCTCTCTCTCTCTCTCTCTCTCTCTCTCTCTCTCTCTCTCTCTCTCTCTCTCTCTCTCTCTCTCTCTCTCTCTCTCTCTCTCTCTCTCTCTCTCTCTCTCTCTCTCTCTCTCTCTCTCTCTCTCCTCTCTCTCTCTCTCTCTCTCTCTCTCTCTCTCTCTCTCTCTCTCTCTCTCTCTCTCTCTCTCTCTCTCTCTCTCTCTCTCTCTCTCTCTCTCTCTCTCTCTCTCTCTCTCTCTCTCTCTCTCTCTCTCTCTCTCTCTCTCTCTCTCTCTCTCTCTCTCTCTCTCTCTCTCTCTCTCTCTCTCTCTCTCTCTCTCTCTCTCTCTCTCTCTCTCTCTCTCTCTCTCTCTCTCTCTCTCTCTCTCTCTCTCTCTCTCTCTCTCTCTCTCTCTCTCTCTCTCTCTCTCTCTCTCTCTCTCTCTCTCTCCCTCTCTCTCTCTCTCTCTCTCTCTCTCTCTCTCTCTCTCTCTCTCTCCTCTCTCTCTCTCTCTCTCTCTCTCTCTCTCTCTCTCTCTCTCTCTCTCTCTCTCTCTCTCTCTCTCTTTATTTACCTGTGACGTTTCGACGGTCCTTGAAGACACCGCGAGTCGCACGCCCATCTCGTGACTGACGCCCTTGACCATCCACCACAGCGGGGACTTGCTGGAGTGCGAGCGCTTGCCGACGAAGACCTGCGAGTTCAGAGAATTAATTAACCTGTTCGTCAATCTTTTTAATCAGCGAAGAAACTGGAGTTCAAAGGTTCAATTTGTTCGTCAAAGGCTTCGGTAGTATTGAGTCTCGATTGTTGAAAGGTTCACTGAATTCATTTTCTCTATATTTTGATTCAGTGAGATCCGGGAGTTCCAGGGATTAATTAATCGATTTATTTCATTTTTATTGTGGATTGAATAGTAAACAGGATATACCAGTGAGCGCGGGTTGCCTTCAGTTCGCTAATATACTGACTATTAGCCATGGAATCATATATTCCTCTTGACGCCTACACTGGCATAAATTTGATTTTTTTTTTTTTTTTTTTTTTTTTTTTTGCACATACTCGATTAATCAAAGTAAAGCTCGTTTATGTAACAGAATACCGGAGAAGTTATTTTGACATTTGTTAGTATTCATTTTTGTTTTGTTTTACATGTATAGTTTGTAAAGCTATTTATAATCAGAGGCATTTGATATACGGCCCGTTTTGTAGCTTCTCGAAAGCCCTAAAAGTTCGATTCATTTTTTTCACATTGTGTCATGGTCTACAATCACGATGACAGCGAAGTTAGTACTGACATACAGAGTTTTGGAAAAAGATATTTTTATTTTCTTACTTTCGCATGAAAAGTCAGCAGAAAACCAACAAAGTACTTAGTGTGTAGGAATGATATTTGGTTGCAAGGAAAACACTGAGGAAGCTTCAAATTGAAAAAGTCCCAGACTCCTCTGCAACTTATATTGTTTATACGCGTCTTCGCTTCGCAAATGTATTTCTCAGATTCACTCAAAAGATCTTGTTTCTCATTTCTTTAAATGAAAAGTGGAAGTTACATGAGGTTCTGCATCTTATCGTATCCACCACGAAGTGTCTTCGTGTCCGATTCAGACACCTAGATAATTCCAAAGATCACAGGTATTTCCTCGTCATATTGACTGATTTATATCAACAAATCATGATACACAGCCTTTTCTTTCATATTTTTTAAGCCTGTAAGGTTGTATCATAGAGGTACAGAATGATTTTGAAGACATTCATCCCACCGAAGTCAATAACACGTCATATAAATCGGACACGTTGAAAATTCTTACCATGTTCCTCCAGCGACATCAAATTTCACCCATATAGACTGAACAAATATTTGATGTGCTTCTGAAAAGGCACAGTAGATGCACCTCTGAAATAGAATTTTGTATCATTATTATCGATAAGGCTTCATCATATAGGGTTTTAGTGAAAGATCATCAACCACTATAGGAAGGGAACACCTCATGTTGGTGCAGCTGCTTTTGGAACATTTAACGAATCAGCTTTCATGGCTTCACAAAGACAACACTCATACCTCTGCTTCATTTGCTCTACCTGCATCTATAGTCTATAATTCGCAAGCCCATAACCAACATAAACATGCTCTTCTGGGCTTCTTAGACGTAGAAATCAGAGCCTAATTTTGCGGGTCTGGCAATCAAGTTTTTACATTCATGGTGCCAATACAGTTGGGAAAATTCTAACAAATGGGGAAATTATGAGTCATTTCTTCTCAATCCACTGTAGTATTTAATACATTTCGGTATATTGTCTCCAGTACTTAGTAGAATGCCGAGCAAGCTGATGGAGCGACGAGGTTGTGACTGATGTGAAATTGAAAAGATAATGAACGCTCGGTCTCGGCTGAAACAAGAAAGAGGAAAAAAAAATAAGAATTATTTTTTTTGACTTTACATTAGTTATGGTGATGGTTGGAAACACTCTAGTTGTTTAGATTTTTTTCACTAAAAAATAAACAATAGAAAATAGAAAAGTGGAAATTTCTATGAACAATAAAATAGATAAAAAAAAATATTGTTCTGAACCTGTGCTGCTCAGTAATTGCACCGTTTCCCATGAATCCCGGACCTAACTTATGCATTGCATTCAATTACAGTGTACATATCCCTTATTATAAAGGATGACAGACAAGTAGGTATTGCCAATATTGCTCTATAACAGAAAAATGATAGCTTTCAATTTCAACTTTTTACAGCTCACTCTGTGCTTATTGAAGACCCCAAATTCGTTTATGATATTTGCTTAAATTCATAGAAGTTCATTTATTTTAACCTACATCGATATTGAATGTTTGTTATCAATAATTATAAATTTCAATATATGGAAGTATAAGAGAACTGTGGGACATTATTCGAGATATTTCTTACCCATAGCAGGATAACAGATAGTCACAACAAGTC